CTAGATATAAAATATAAAAAATGAAAGATATTCCAAGTGAGTTATTATTAGTATTATTATGTTTTTTTCGTTGATTTATTTATAAAGAAATTCTATTCTGATGTTTCTAGCGACATGTGTTGCTGCTGTTTATTCAGAAATAGAACCTAAGCCACAAGTAAGATTGATATTGATTGTATGTTTGATTTATTGACTTGTCTTTCTTTTTTTTTGTTTCTAGTTAAAAGATATTGAAAAATTTATGCGTGATCATGGTGCTGAACCAGTGTTAGATTTTAGTTCGGAAGATCTTGAAAGCAAAGTTGAATCGATTATACGTGAATTAAGAAATGTTCTTAAAGATTCTTTACTTGAAAGCGGTAAAGAATATTTTTTATTTTATTTTTCATAAGAAAATCTATTTAATTATTTAGATATGGAAATGTTTCTTAATTCTGTAATGAGTTTAATATTGGTTGTACCTGAAGATAAAATAAATCGACCAATTTTAAATTTTTCGGAAGCTATTGTAAATGCAAATCTACCAGAAAAATATGGACCAATAAAAATTCGAGTGTGAGTTAAGATTGTTTTTTTGTATTTTGAATTGAAAATAAATATTTTAATGGTTTGTTTTTCAGATTAACGAATTTAATTTATGTAATACCGGAACATGCTAATACAGATAAATATCGTATTTTGATGGATTTAATTAAATGTGCTCGAAATCATCGATGTATCAATGCTGTATCAGTTGGAATAAGTCAAGTACATTTCTTTGTTTTTTTTTTAAACAAAGAAGGAAAATTTCGAAAATTATCCAATCCTAAGGATTAACAAAAGAACTTTTTATTACTTTAGAAAATAATGTGTGGATTAGATATGAGTCTTCTACAACTTTGAGAAAACATTTTTTTTTTCATAAAACGATAAACGATTGTCTGAAAACACAAGTTGCACAATTCAAAATATGTAGAACAAACCTTGATAAATTGTCTTACATCGAAAGCAAAATACGTTAAAAACTCGCTGATGATTCCTGTTTGTTTTTTGAATTTTAGGCTATGATATAACTGTTCTTTTTTCTTCTAAGGCTTTGAATGTTTTATAAAAAACTGAGAGATAAACATGCTTCATATAAGTATCATATTAGATTGTTTGATCGATTTACAGGCGATAAATGAATTCAAATAATATATGACAATAACTGATCGGAATAGGATTCTTTCGATTGAAATGTCTACTATTCAGATAAAGAAAATAGTTTTCGACTTCTAAAATAAAATCTTATATAAGCGATGGTTATACATTAGTATAATTATAGTCTAAACGGTGTTTTTTTTTCTATGATATAACTAATCATTCGTAGTGTTTACAAGAGATCACAAAGAAATTAGAGTAAAATACAAATTTGGACTTCAGAGACTATTTTGACTGATAACACGAGAAAGTATAATTTCCAAGCATTTGAGCAAATCCATCTACACTCACACCCGTTTTTTTCCATCATTCAATTTCCTTTATACTCGAAGAAGCCATTCGTGTTAATACACCGATTTAGACATGCACCGAACTTGAGCTCGAGGTTTTGGACAAACAGCTCACATTTATGTTTGTAAACTATCCAACCAGTTCAGACAGTGTCAGATACTTGGGTAATTATCCAAGCATTTGATAAGGTATATGAACAATCATGGAAGCATTCTAGGGTTCAGTTAAGTTCAAGTTTGAGTTTTTCTGAACATTGTTGGCTTCTGTAGGATGCTTACAGACCTTTGTTTTTTGGATCATTTATTCTATTATGTGTAGATCTATCATAGCTAAGCCTAAAATCTTTTCTTTTCACTTAGTTCTACTTGCTTTTGTTCACTAACTGAAAATGATTGCAGTCAAGACCGAAACTCGAACTTTTGGGTTCGATGCATGCCTATATCGGCCATCATTGTGAGTTCTTCATGTACTCACTGACTTCACTGTTAGTCTTATTGTTAAAGTTCGAGTTAGATCATGTCTAAAAATACTTTTATATTATTTCTGAACAATTTTACTCACAAAGAAATCATTCTGTCTTCTTAAATATTTAATTTATCTTTTGTATAACTTAGGTAAAAATTTGGGTTAAAGAATGGAAAGTTTCAAATGAACAAGTTCAAGAACTCTATCGAAATATGCATGAAGCATATGCAGCAATTGGTGATTCGTATGTGATTTTTTTTTAAACATAACAATCCATTCTTATCTAATTAATATTGATACAGAACAAATGCATTACAACTTTTACTTGAATTACTTGGTACATATACAAAAGAAACAGCATCAAAAGCTCGTACAGATGCATTCAAGTAGGATTATTTACAAACAAAATTTCTTCTCTATAAATAATCTTTTGTTTTTAAATTTATATTATAGATGTATTATCAATAGTATTAATGATCCAAATGTATTCATAATGGATCATCTTCTTTTACTTGAACCTATAAAAGTTCTCGAAGGAGAAAATATTCATAAAGTAAAATTTCTATAAAAATTTTCATTTATTTATTTATTTAAACTTTATTTTTTTTTTTTAGTTATTAAATATTTTTGTTCTTGGTCGTTTACAAGATTATCTTGAATTTTATTCAAAACAAAAATCATTTATTGAATCATCAGGTATGAATAAATTTTCTTTATTTTATTTTACTTTATTTTAGAATATTTTATTTAGGTATTAAACATGAAAGAAATTTAACAAAAATGCGTTTATTAACATTTCTTCAAACAGCTGAAAGTCAAAAAGAATTAACATTTGATGCAATTGAAAAAGAAATGCAAATACCATCTGATGATATTGAATCATTTATAATTGAAGGTAAAAAAGTATTTTTTATTCTAAAAGATATTTAATTAATTCAAATAAATCTATTTTAGCTGTACGAACAAAAATGATACGTTGTAAAATTGACCATCTTGCACGAAAAGTTATTATTGATAGTACAGCACAACGTTCATTTACAAAACAACATTGGATATCGTTAAAAGAAAAACTTGAATCATGGAAATCTAATTTAACTATGATTAATAATAATCTTCATACATTATTAAATGCAAGAGCAGTACCAACATAGAATTTTCCTTTTCTTTTTCTTTTTCTAGGAGAATCTTTTTTTGTTTCGTGACAGTTTTTTTGTTGTTAACATCGTTCTCATAGATAATTTCGATTTGTCAAAAAAAAATATATATATATAATATTGTTATTGTTCGTATTGTTACAAGAAAATATTTAACAATGATTTTTCTTTATGAAGAAGAGTTTTCAAGTTTACAATGAAATCAACTTTTTTCAGCCGTGTATCTTCTATGATCCATTTACGGTTGATTCTAGTAACGTAGTTATATTTTGATACTTAAAAAAAAAAGAAAGCAAATATTGTTTTAATATCTAAATTTCATATTCATACATATACTCGAGAGACAAAAGATCAATAAAGTGTGGAAATTAAAAACAAAACAAATTGTCATAGGGTATAAACATACTCTACAAAGATTGGTCATGGACAATACATCAAAAATCGATGGTTTTTTTTCATCAGTGCATGAATAGAGTACTTCAAGTTGTCCATATAGTAGGGAAAGCTGCAGCTCTCTAGCATGTTTTATTCTCGAATGGTTGCAAAAATAATCACAGCTATTATATTCATGGATAGACAGTAGATTATCATAAGATGTATCATATAAGATTTACTGTCATAGAAATACAGATTTAACTGTAAAAATATTTATATGTAGAATGAATTAACTAAATTTCGTAATGTAAATTTACAGAATTTTTTTGTAATATATTTGTATTTATAAATTGAGATTTCTTGTATCAATAAACGCAATTTTCTATAAAATTTTCAAACATCGCAGAATCGACTTCAATTACATTTATTGTTTAACATCTGATATACAAGCGTGGACGTTAAAAAAAAGTCAAAATTTGAATGCTTCAATTGTGGTATTAATTTGTTTAGTACTCCAATGAATTGTAGACGATTCTTCATTGCATTAAATTTGTGTTGAAATTCTTAGACAGTCATCAGAAATTCAGAATATATTTTCAGAAAAAAGAATAATTTTTGGTGCGAGAGATTTTTAATTAAAGCATATGTGAACTTAAAGATGATAACTGAATCATCAGCCGCAATGAAGTCAACAGTTCTCCATATATCTCTTAAAGTAAAAAATTGACATTTTATCATATATATACAATTGTTTAGAAGAGTATGATTACAGCCAATAAACATTCTCATTCAAATAGGATGATAAAAACTGTACTTTTCATCAATATATTCTTACATTCTTTATACAGAGCACAGCTATATATAATGTTAGTTTAACAGAACCAAAACTCTCAATCATAATGAAAATTACTCTATCAGATATGTTGATCCTGTCATGACAAATTCATCTTTAAATTAAAATCTATTTTCTTTTCTTTCTTAGTTCCATGATTTATATAAGAGAAACAGACTAAAAAAAATAAAGTTACATAATAAAAATGAATGGTAAATTCACTACTCATTGATATTTTTGCTTGTTCTCCGCTAAAACGTTCGCTTTACCAGCATATTTTTTGCTTAGCGTTCGCTTTGCCAACATTGCAGATAAACCGAACGTTTGAGATACCCCATTTCATACCACTAACTATTCAATTATTAGACGAGTTACAAATCTTTTTTTTTATATGAGTAGATGCAGAATTTAATTCTCTTTCCCGTAGTATAAAAAGGAAACTTTTAGCCCTTAGAATAATCAAGATATAAGTGATGGAACACAGGCACCCATAAAATGCGTTCGGTTTACCAACATTGACTCTACGATAAGATTTTGCAAATACAATGCATTCATTTCATTCTCCACAAATAACGTGATCTCTACAATATGAATGTGGTTCAATTTTAGCATTATTCAAGCGTTTTCACAAAGGTTGACTAGAGAAAAAAATTAAAGTCAAAATAGATAAAAAAGTTCATGTTCATAATCATTAGAAGAATTGTTTAAATTGATTGTTGTAAATCTTTCTTAGTAATGTATTTGATTAGATCAACAATACGGTTTGAATAGCCATATTCATTGTCACACCTAGAAAGAAAATTATTGTATATAATAAAGAAAAATATTATTTAAATAAAAACATACCACACAATAGGTTTGACAGAATTATCATTAAATGAAATACCAGCTTTAACATGAAAAATTAATGAATGTATATCACCAATAAAATCTGTTGAAACAAGTTCATCATCAGTATAAGACAAAATATTTTTTAATGGACCATAAGTAGCTTCTTTAATTGCAGCACAAATTTCCTCATACTTGACCTAAATAAATAAATTTTATTTTGATCAATTAAATCTAAAAATAAAAGCATGACTTACGCCATTGCTTAATCGAGCAGTAAGATAAACAACTGAAACATTTGGTGTTGGAACACGAAAAGCTATACCAGTTAATTTTCCATTTAAATCAGGAATAATTTTTCCGCCCTAATTAGATCCAAAAATAATTTTTTTATTTATTAAAAAATAAAAAATAAATAAACATACATCGTTAGCTGCTCCAGGTGATGATGAAATTATATATTGTACATCTCCATCTTTACCTTGCCAATCCTATAGAAATAAAATAGAAATTAAAAAATTGTCTTTTTTTATTTAATTAAGTACTTTATTTGATGATCCATCAACAATTTTCTCTGTAGCAGTGTACGAATGTACAGTTATTATTAAAGCTTCAATAATACCAAACTTTTCATGAACAACTTTAGCAAGTGGTGCTAAACAATTTGTTGTACATGATGCATTTGAAATAATTGTTTCTTTTCCTGTATATTTATCTTCATTAACTCCCATAACAAATATTGGAGCATCAGTTGATGATGCTGTGATTATAACTTTTTTTGCACCGGTTTCTAAATGTGGTTTACATTTGTCAACTGTTGTAAATACACCGGTTGATTCAAGAACATATTCAACACCTATGAAAAAAAAACGAAATCAATTAACCATTTATCATTCAAAATCAAGAAAAAAATGCATACCGAGTTGACTCCATGGAATTTTTGATGGTTCTTTTCTAAAAATAAAATCGAAAAATAAAAGTTTTTATAGATAATCAATTGTTTCGAATAGAGAGGATGTCTGAAAAGTTTCTTCCTTTTTCTATATCATTACTATTTTATTTAACTTTATCAAGAATTTTTTAAAAATGTTATGTGACTATAACGAGTTTTTATTTCAATGAATAAACTTTGAAGGTATCTTTGAAAACTACGAAACTTTATAGAAAGAGAAATATTTCACTTGCAGAATAAAAAAACACGATGCAGCGTTTCTTCTTTATTTGTTGAATTATTTTTATCTTTAAATGATTGAGAATGTTTAATAGTCATTTGATAGATTGTTTCGATAAAAATAAACACAATGACGTTAATAATCTTCATCTATGACAGATTTCTCTTTTCCTATGAGAAGATATAGGTATTATAATAGAAAATAAATGAAAGGACGGGGGCGCATAAGAAGGGAAATCGGCCCATCGGACTTTTCTTGCCCAATCCCATTGAATCATATATTAAATGAAAGAACGTGTTAAAATTAACATTTTAACACTATTTTCATAGACTTTCGATCGAATTTCTGAAGCAAAAAGTTATTAACAAAGTAGTTCATTTTTGGTCATTAGTCCAATAATCGACTCTATCATAGTCGACTCAATTTTCGAATAAATTGATTATAAAAGTTGGTTGTAAAATTAGTATCTGATAGCTTTTTTATCGGGCTTCAATCCTATATATGAATCAATAATTGGTAGTTTGATTTAGTGGCGAGGAGAACTGATATACTGGCAGGCATTGTTAAAAAAAGCCCTCCATTTACCATCAACTTTTATCTTTCAACAAATATTTTGTCATAAAAATGGAAGGTACCAAAATTCTAGTATTGCTCATTGGATAGCTCTTTTCAAAAGCTACAAAACTATATATTTTCTAAAGTCTAAAAAGTT